CTCTCCGCGTCCTCTCCGGCGGCCAGAGTGCCGAGGGGAGGGCGGAGAGCCCCCGGCGGCAGGAGCGCCGCGGGGAGGGCGGCGAGCCCAGTCGCGGCCCCGCTCTCGGGCCAGAGCGCCCCACCGCCCCCCTCCAGGCGCCGCCCCAAGCACATGCTTGGTGGGCTGGTGCCTGGAGCCGGCCCTGGGGACTTGGGAGGGACTTTGAAGGTGCTTGAAGGAAGCTCTGCAGCTGCTATTCCCTTGACAGTGGCCTGTGAAAGCCCTGATAGGCTGCCGCGCAGTATGACTTAGACAGCCATGGGAGTGGCACAAACTGGAGGGGCACTGCCCGTTGCTTATTCCTCCTTAGTCAGATAACAGGCCTGACTCCCTGTGGCCCTGGGCCTGTTGTGTCAATTTCCACCTGCACCACCTGTGCCCAGGGGAGATGGCTGCAGAGGTGCAGGGCAGGGGGAATCGGGCTCAGTGTAGTCACACCAGCATGCATAGCTCCCCCCCTCTGTTTGTGGCTATGTTCAGAGGGCCCAAACTAAACACTTGCTTTGCAAATCTTGTCCTCCATAGGAGGACACAGACCAAGGGCTTCAAGAGAATTATACCCTGGTCCCTCCCCATTTTAATTCCATCCTTCATCCAGACTTGGGCATGGAGATAAACCCTTTGCGGTGTGAGAGTCAGCACTAGTGACAAAGTCAAAGTAAAGGGAACCCACAAAGAGGAGGCAAGGGTGCCATCCTGCCCCAGAGGCAAAGGATGGGAAATAAACAAACACAGATTTATTAGAAAGCCCTCTAGCTGCTTGAGGGAGTCAATACAATAAACAAACAGAACCCCTTGTGTTTTTCAGCCTCCTCAAGTTTTAGTCTAGCCTCCAGTCTCCTACGAATTGGGGATTATTATATAGCACAGATTGTGTGTGTTCACTAGATATGAATTGAGTCATATGCTTAACTACTAGTCCTGCTAGCCCATAAATCCAGTGGGGATAGCTCTGCAGATTGCCGTTCAATATCTCAAAGCAAAATCTTTAAACATAGGGAGATGCCGGGGATTGTTCCTGAAGGCGACATTTAGGGCTTCTGTGGTAGGGCTCTGTGAAGTGCTTCCACAGGGCTAGGAAGACAGAGGAACTTCAGAGCCCCAATGTGCAAAGGAGAAGATGGTATAAAGGGGCAGGGGGTAAATTAACTAACCACTGGGGAGTTTGCGGGAAGAGAGAGCTGCTGCAGGAGGGGTGGGTTCCACTGTAACGCAAAAAGCAACAGAGGGTCCTGTGGCACCTTTAAGACTAACAGAAGTACTGGGAGCATAAGCTTTCGTGGGTAAGAACCTCACTTCTTCAGACGCAAGTAACTCCAAAGGGCATGCACAGAAAACTAGCAAGGCTTTGTGGGATTATTTTAAGTAGGAGCTGGGGGAGAGCTGCTGGGTGCCAACGTGCAGCAGAGGCAGACAAAACCTTCTGTTCAGGTGTCAGTGAGACACAGCCATCTCTGAACTCAGCAAAGTGTAGGGCAGAAATTACAGCTGGAGAAGGGACAGGCTGAGATCAGAAAGAAAAAGCCCAGAAAGCAGTGAGGTGCCAGAGTTCAGCGTTAAATAACCTGTGTCTAGAACTAGCTGTTCCGAGAAGCAATGATGCTGAGAAACAGCTTCTGTAACTCTTGTCCCAATGTGCTCTGACCATCCATTGTTCTGGGTGATTAGACTGAGCTGCCTCTCGGAGCTCCCTCAGCACTGCACTCCAAGCCGTGTTCTTCATTGGGATGCTGATAGCATAGCCCTAGTGGCATGTTTGTACTTATGACTTGGAGCCATACGGAGTCATGTGTGTGATCGAAGCACCTCACGTTCTCTAATGTGTTACCTTCACATGCCCAATAGGAAGGAGAGAGAAGTGCTCCTATTCCTCCTGTCTTATAACTAAGGCTGCATGTCTGTCATGGGGGTCCGTGACTTCTGCAGTGGCTGACTCTGGGGCTGACTGAACAGATCAGGCAGCCCTTGGGCCAGCCGCACCAGCTGCTGCTGGGGCAGTTTGGGTATGGGAGGGGG